CATAATAAATTAAAATAATAACCATCATTAAAATAATCATGTTAAAGCATAATAATAGCAAGATTCTAGGCATGATACTAACAAGATTAATAACAAACCCTAGCATGTAACTAAACAATAAAAATCAAAGCTTTATCCCTAACATGATACATTAGAAAAGAAAATAGGAATTATCACAGAAATCATGATAAGCATATTTGATATTAGAAATTTTAATTGTTACCCTAAACATGATACTAGGAATCATCGTTGTCATTCAAAACATCAAGCATCCTAACATGAAACTAGGAATCATAACAACAACCTAGACATGATTTTCTATATCATGATATAAATAAATCAATTAAAGTACTAACCTGGATGCCTCGTATCTCTTTGTAATAACAAAATACACGTGTAAGTAACTTCAAGGAAAATAATAAACAAACAATCAAATTAAATAATTGAAAGAGAGATTAAGGACCAAACCCTTAGAAATATCAAACCTTTCACATCTAGGGCGAAGACAACTTTGAACTTGGCTGGGTGTGTCTAGTGCTAATGTATGAGGAATGTGTTTGTAAAAGGCTAGGCTAGAAAGAGAGAGAGAATCAAGAAATTCTTGATGAGAGTTGATGAGAATTAGATGAGAAGGATTGATGATTGAAAACGGAGGTTTTAGGAGGCTATTTATAGAAAAAAACATCCGGATATGATTAAAAAAAAATCAGAGTTTCGAAAAGAATAAAATACGATGTTGTCGCCAAACGCTGGAGTGCAGCGCCAAACGCCAGGTATGTCGCCAGACGCTGCAAGATAGTTTTTATGGATTTTTTTTTATTATATCTTTTGATCGAGAAATCCAAATAATATGTCGTTAGAAAGATCTTCAAGTCTAATTTCCAACCCAATTAGAATCAAATTAAAATCTTCGGTAGATAAAAAGATATGGCCGAAATAGTGGAATGGTGTTAGTTTTGGATAAAGTTTCATATCTCATTCTTATCTTTTTTCGTTATAGCTCGGATTTAATTATAATATATCATTGGAAAGATAATTTCAAGATATATCCAACGATATAAGATTTGAATAAATATTGTGAGGCGCAAAAATAAAATCTAAATATATTCCACTTCGTATAAAACAATGATTCTAAAAAGGAGTAGTTTTATTCAATTTCAAACTCTTTGAAACATAATTATCAATCCTAACTCTATTAGGATTTAAGAGAACCTTCTAGAAGACTATAATTAATCCTAATAGCTTTAGGAATGATAATTAATGATATGCCCTCCTCTAGATCATTGGGTCGCATATAAAAACCAAACCGGTCCCAATCTAGTATTTTGGCCATATCTTCCTCATTATTCATCGGCATTGGGCTTATAATATATCGTTGGAAAGGTCTTTTCAAACCCCATCCAACTACACCATTATTGGACCCTTATCAGGGATCAAACTAAACTGGAATGCACGTTTTTCATAAATAAGGTAAAAAAAGAAATATTTTCAAAAACAACAAGAAGAGATATTTTAATAAAAAAATCCTCACACTAGACTTTTCACACTTTCGCTTTGTTCGATAATCAAATGACGTGAAAGGTATTCATCACTGGGTTTGGTTTTGGGGAGACACATTTGGGTGTCTACAGGTTGCAAGATTAACAATAAAACACTGCCAATTCGATAAATCGATAATTAAAATAATAACAACATTAAGATTCATATAATAAACAAGGATTCCCAAACCCTAGAGATAAACTACTCTAGCATGAAATAAATAATAAAATCTAGATCTAAGGAATAAAATGTAATTAAAAGAGAGAAATAAATTACCTTAATGAATTAAAGTAACGAATTTAGGGACAAGTCTAAGGAGGAATCCATGATATGGAGTTGTCTATGAAAAAATAGGGCTAGAGAGAAAAATCAAACGAATGTAAAACAATAAAAGGTATAAAGGCATAAGGAAAAATAATAATTCCTTGGAGTATTTATATTATCCCAAAACTAATCTAAAACTTAATAATTAAGATAAGATTAAAAAAAATTAAAATAACAAAGGTCGTCTAAGATCGATCCATTTTTTTTTAAGCAGATAAATATTATTACTCATCAAAAAAGGATATACAAACTAACTCCCAAAGGAGAAACTACATAAATGATGTAGGTTGTCTTGGTGTTGTGGACACACAACCATCTCCCGATGGGTGGTCACTAGTTAAGGGTTATGAGAAAGATGAAGCTCGGTCATCACCGATAGTTTTCCAGCGGCTAAATCAGCCTCAAAGGCTCGTGCGCACGACTTGGCCACGCCCGATGGCTGGGGGGCTAGGATGGCAATTTAACAGGGTCGATTTTGAAGGCATGTATCTCGTGTTCTGGAAACCGTATATGGGCGTTTAACCTCTCAATGGAAAGATCTTCAAGTCTAATTTCCAACGCAATTTGAATCGCTTCAATCCGATAATGAGAACTCAAGTTAAGACCAAAAGAGTGACCAAAGGTCTATTTTAACACTTTGTAAACCTTTGTTTTCCTTCGTTTCTAAATCAAATTCATTTTCGAAAGAGGCATAACGACCGTTGTGGATGTTATAATCATCCCTCATGCATATAATCTCAACCTAAGCTTCCACATACACATTACCTTTCATTGAGTGACCTCGATCAATCGACTTTTCATCCTTTCATTGTCCGATTCTTCCAAAACTACCCCAAAAGCGTTCAAATAGTTATGAAAGTTACCTAAAACATTAAGATATATAACACAAACGAAGCGTAACAGAGAAAAAAATTGACAACTTATGCATTTGCAACCTAAAAAGCGACAATAGACCTAAAAGCAATTGTAAAATTAGCATAAATGTGCCTATAAAACCTATATAAATATGACTCATCTATAGATCATCATCTAAGTGTGGGACTCAGGTTAGGTTGGATAGTGTAGACACCCATTTGTGTCTCCCCAAACCCAAACCCAGTGATGAGTACCTTTCACGTCGAATCATAATCGAATGAATTGAAAGCGTGGAAAGTCTAGTGTTGCGGTTAGTTTTATTTCTTTTATTTATCTCTGTTTTTGAAAACCTATTTTAAGAAAACAGCCAATTCAATTTGGTTTGGTCCATGTCAAGGGTCCAATAATGGTGTAGTTGGGTCGGGTTTGAAAAGAGCTTTCCAACGATATATTATAAGCCCAATTCTGATGAATAATGAGGAAGTTATGGCCTAATTACTAAACTAGGCCCAGTTTGATCTTTATGTGCGGCCCAATGATCTAGAGGAGGGCCTATTATGATTTATCATTCTTAATGTGATTAGGATTGATTATAGTCTTCTAGAATCTTCTAGAAGGTTCTTTTCATTTCTAATTTGATTAGCATTGATAAATTGACTTTAGTTGACTTTTAAGAGTTTTAATAAGAATAAAAGAAGTGTTTTTAAGGAAAATATAGTTTTGCCCTCTCGTACGCTTAAATTTTATCAAAATAAGAAAACGCGTGGAAAATTATTTCTAACGCCATACGACAGCTCTGTCGCCTGGCGACACACGCAACGTTTGGCGACAGACGCGTGTTTGGCGTTGCGGTCGTGCTTTATTCTTTTCAAAACTCTGATTCATTTTTTATCATATCCGACTGATTTTCTCTATAAATAGCCTCCTAAAACCTGCGTTTTCAGTCACCAATTGTCATCAAGAAATTCTTGATTACTCTCTCTCTCTTTTCTAAACTAGTCTTTTGCACACAAAATTTAGCATTCACAAGATCTAGAAACACCTAGCCAAATCGAAGTTGCCTTCGCCCTAGACGTGAAAGGTTTTAATTTCTGAGGGTTTGGTCACAATCTCTATTTCAATTATTTAATTTAATTGTTCGATTATTATTTTCCTTAAAGTTACTAACGTGTGTATTTTGTTATTAGAAAGAGGTACGAGACATCCATGTAACTGCTTTAATTGTTTGCATTGTTATTATGATATAGAAATCATGTCTAGGTTGTTATTATGATTCCTAGTATCATGTTAGGGTGTTTTCATCTTCCTAGTATCATGTTTAGGGTAGCAACTAAAAGTTCTAATATCAAATATGACAATTGTGATTCCTACGATGCTTCCTATTTTCCTTCCGAATATTCATGTTAGGGCTATATATTTGATGTTTGGTGACATGCTAGGTTTTGTTATTAATCTTGTTAGTATCATGCCTAGGATCTTGGTATTATTATGCTTTAACATGATTATTTTAATGATGATTGATATTATGATGATTATTATGTTGCTTGATTATATTTAATCACTAGTGGAAAAATCCTCATCCGTAACGGGCAAAAAGGGGCCATCCGTAACGGGTAGCGTCCGTTACGTATGCGGCCGTTACGGATGGCCATTGTTATTCGTAACGGGCACTGTCCGTTACGAATAATGAGTTATTCGTAACGGACATTTGAAATGTCCGTTACGAATAACTCATTATTCGTAAGTCCGTTACGAATAACCCATTATTCGTAACTGACATTTTAGATGTCCGTTACGAATAACCCATTATTCGTAACGAACATTTTAAATGTTGGTTACGAATAAGGGGTTATTCGTAACGGATTACGAATAATGGGTTATTCGTAACGGACATCTGAAATGTCAGTTACGAATAAATTTTTTATGTTTTAAAATAAGTCCTTATTCGTAACGGGCACATAAAATGCCTGTTACGAATAAGTGATTATTCGTAACTGACATCTTAAATGTCCGTTACGAATAGAGTTTTATGGTATATAATTTAACACTTATTTGTAACGGGCAACAAAAGTGCCCGTTATGAATAACTGGTTATTTGTAACTGGCAAATTTGCTGCCCGTTACAAATAATTATTAAATTAAATTTTCATTTTATTTAATTTCGACAACATGTATTTATATATAATTAATATATATTAATTAAAACCTGTAATAATATACCTGTTCCTGTAAAAAGCAATTATACCGAACAATCTTTCGTAAAAATTAATACGACGTAATATAAAAACTGAAGTAGTAACACATTACAAATAAAAACTTGTATAAATTTATCCAACATATACAACAATACTAAAAATATTACGTTGTTCTACCTAAGCTAATAGTTAAGCATTCAATAAATATTTACTTCTAAAGTGGATAAATCTTGAATCTATTCATCTTTCAGATTCAGCTTCCTCACCATGCTTCTGACTGCCTAGCCTAACAATGTCTTCAACAAGTATCTTCCCCTCTGATAAAAACAATCACACAGAATCAGTAAAGCAAAAGAACTGGGTCAGACCAACTTAAATATGTCTTCTAGTACAATAAATGTTAGTGCCAAATTAATAGAGATCTAAGAGCACTCATACATGACAACTAATAACACTTTCATGCTAGGAAAGAAAATCGATCCCTACTCCTAGCTTATACGAAGTATATGTTAAAAATATCACACTTCATTCTAAATAATAGGGGCTGCAATTCATTTTAGGCTATTTAAAAACTTAGAAGTAAATATACTACAGCTAGCCTTCATTATAAAAAATTTCAAAATATACAACATAATAATATAGAAAGTGATATGCTACGTATTATTCAGATAGTTTGAAACAGATATGTAGTTTAGAACTTTAGATTTAGAGACGGAGGGAGTGTATTAAACGAACCTCTGTCTTTTGACAGCTTGTTGATGAGCTCTTGGATACCATCTTTGTCAATTTTGTTTTTCAGATATGCAGCAGCAGAAGCTACTTCTTCTGGAGTCACCTTCCCATCGTAATCCCTAGATGTCAAGAAACAGGTCTAATATCAGCATTGTCTCTATTATGCAGCAGTTAAACTAAAGGTCATATAATACAAGAGCAAGATTACACATAAAGAAAATATAAAGAAATATATTAGTCCGTGCAAGAGAGTCAAACATGTGAAACAACACTACGATCTTATTATATCAGTGCCTTAACTAGTTCCACCTCACTAATGCAGAAGAATTTCTGACTCAATATTCTCAAGACCTCAACTACAATCATACAAATAAAATACCCAAAAAAATTATGGCTGGAATTTGCCTAGCTTAGAATAACAGCATATCACAAGTACATTACTAAGTCCAATTATTTAACAATGTATACAAAATTACACAAGGGATTTGCAATTAAGCCCTTGGTTTCTAGCCAGGGGAGAGGGGGCCAGTAGGTGGGAAATCTCGATATAGATCAAGTCCATAATTTAGATAATTTCATCATTGGCTAGCTCAATCATTCAACAATGTTTACACAAGAGATTTGCAGTTAATAATGCCCTTGGTTCCTATTACCAGGAGGGGGCCAGGAGGTGGGAATTCTCTATATAGCAAGTCCATGATTTAGGGGTCGTTATTATTGCCAGATATCATAACATCAAGAGTAAAACACGGATGAATGTCAGCCACATGTCAAAACAATTTGTCATTGTTCTAGCTTGAGAGCCACAATCCATATAAAAACATAGTTATGTACTCCAAGATCTCCACAGGCTAATAAAAATCTAACTAAAACCTGCCAGATAATAATCTCAATAGCATACCTATCAAGCAATCGCCATTCACCACCAATCTTCTCATCCACATCATCAATTTCTTTTTCAAGTTTTTGAAGAATAGCATCCACCTGATACAGCAAAATAAAAGAATCCCAGTAATTCAATAGGTACAGGAAATAAACAGAATTACAGATGCATCAGCCAATGTAATAATATCATCTAGTTTAAGAGAATCTGGATCAGAAAAATAAAAACTCGTGCAGACCTTGTTTATCAGTGCTGAAGAAACTTGAGCAGTATCTAACTCTTCTTCATCACCCTCCCGGGCAGCTTTGTATGCCTCCGTAGATTCAGCTTCCCCCCTCTTTGCCCTCCTTGTAGAGCTGAGCAAAACTATCTGAAAATCCAAAAATCCGATGATCCGATCCACATCTGATCCGAAAAATATGGATACCCGATCCGAAATAGATTTCAAATCGGATATCCGATCCGAAAAAATCAGATATCAGATATCCAAATTTTAGATTTCGGATATCCGAAATCCAAAAAATCACTTATTGTTACGCGCTATGTTTTGGTGAAGAAATGCTTTCCTCAAAGGCCCAAGGCCCAAACCAACTAACCCTAATTCCCTCAAAAGCTCCCCCCAGCCCCTACCGCCTCTTTTCTCACCATCTCTCTAACTCTCTCTCTCCCTTCCTCATATCTCTCTCTCTCTCTCTCTCTAACTTTCTCTCTCCTTTCATTTTCTGAAATTTAAATCTCAATATCTCAGATCTTATTAATAGCTAGTTTAGTAGTTTTTAGTACCTTAGCAGTTTCATTCCTTCAGTTAGGCACCTTTGCGGCTTCAGTGCTTCACTCACTTGTTCAGGCGGCTTTGCGGTTTCGCTTGTTCTCACCGTTCATTCAAAAGCGACTTTTTGGTTTCATTTTCACCGTTCGTTCTACTGTTATGAGAATCGTGTGAACGGAGAATAGACATCTACGTTTATTTACAGATTATTCATATAAATTAATTTCGTTTTTCCCGATTTCTTTGTATATGACTCATATTTTTCCGAGTACTTTGATTTCGATTCTGATTTGTTTTTTTTTTTTTTTTTTTTTTATTTGGGTTTTAATCATTTAGATTTTGGAATTTGTGGGATATTTATATTCAAAAAATTTGAAGAATTATATACGAGTTTGTTTTTGTAGTCATGAATGTTAAGATACTTGACAAAGATGAAAGGACTTTTAAGTTCAATAAATCAATTTTCCTGTAAAAACCAAAAAAAAAATTAAAATTTGAACAATATTATCAAATTGATCAGATATTGGATATCTGAACCATCCGATCCGAATATTTCGGATATTTGATTTATCGGATATGGATATCAAATATTTGAATTTTTGGATACGGTTATCCGATCCGAAAATGAATGTTGGATCGGATATCCGATCCGTGCTCACCCCTACCTCCTTGTCCACCGTAGTATTGTATAACTCTATCTGGAAAAGAGAATTAGAGACATAAATCCTGCGTCCTAAAGTGGTGGAAAAGTTAGTTTGAAGAAACTAGTTCCAACTGTTCACTTACCTCATTCAAGTCTCAAGAATTCCTCCCGTTCCCTGCTCACTGACTAACGAAAGTAAAATATAGCAAAAATTAGTAACATACAACAATACAACGCTTCGTTGTAATACATCTAGCACCAAAATATTCTTACTGATGCGGAAGCCAGAACAGCCAATGCACGACTGAGCTCACAAAGCTGATCGTCTTTACAGTGTACTTTGAAACTCCATATACAATTATATACTTGTATACTACTACTCTACTAGTGTAATATCGGCCAACTTGTTTTAGGTCCTTTTTACAGTATTTTATTTTTATTTTTTAGTACAAGTAGTAGTTGTGTTAAAATGATGCTCGGTGAACATAGTAAAAAAAAAAAAAAAAAAAAAAAAAAAAAAAAAAAGAGAGAATATTAAAAGTAAATATAATAAAAAATAAAAAATAATAATAATAATAAAAAATAAAAAATAAATTACAATAATAATAAAAAAATAAATAATAAAAAATAAAAAAATAAAAAATAAAAAAAGGTAGATTTTTCCTTCTAGTTCATTTTTCTTGACAAAACTTCCATATTTTTAGCGGTCCAATTTTACTTGTTATTTGACAAATCAATATTGCTGCCTTGCTGCTTCTGTGATTGTTGTTGCTGTTTTATTACCCGTATAACTTTTAGTATTTTAAATTTGTCTTGATGTCAAACAATTATTTATTTTAAAATCTGAAAGGTTCAAAGTTATAATAAAAACGTCAACAAAAAACTTTTGTTTACATCTAGTTTACACTAATATTAGTGTACATCGAGCATTATAAGGGTAAATTTTAGCTAATTTTAGGGTAACTTTTTGCCTGTTTTGGATAACTTTAAACATAATACAATTTTTATATAAATAGACAACAAGAAAAGTTTTATAAAGGTAATTTAATTACATTCAATCATTAATAATAGATTTTTAGTCATTTAAAATGTGATTCTTTATTTATTAATAAAGTGTAGATAATTTTTATTTAAATTGGGTTACTTTTACGCATATTGGGGTAAATTTTATTCATTTCAGAGGAAACTTTTAATCACTTTAAGCTATCTTTATAATGGATGTACAATAATTATTGTACACCTGTTTTTTCTTAAAGTTTTTGCATAGATAGCATAGAATTGATATTGAACATATACATGATCCTAATTGGAGCCCTTTCCCTAAATAATGTTGGGAAATTATCTAATTTCCAAATTCCAGCTAACCTTTTTTAAATTCACACATACCGTCCACATCACCGGTTCAGTGGGAATTTTTTAAGAAAATGGGTTCATTAGAAATGTGCTACTAAAACCGCTACTTCAAATAGCGGTTTACTTATTAGAAAACGCTACTTGAAGTGGAGGTTTGTATTTACTAAGTATAATTTTTAACAAAATCACTTTCCCCTTGTAAAATAATTCAACAAAATTATAACCGCTACTTCAAGTAACGGTTTATTTTCTTAACACCGCTTCTGAAGTAGCGTTTTGTTGCTGAACAGAGAAAAAAAAAATCGGTTTGTTTTCCTTAGCTGATGTGTACGGTACGATGGAAATTTAAAAAAATTGGCTGTATTTTGGGAATTACGTGTTTTCCCAACATTATTTAGGGGAATCTCCTAATTAAAATATTACAATTTAAAACAAAAAAACTACAAAATAAATTGAGCATATATTGTTGGTAATTAATAATTCCCCACCAACACAATAATTTTAGATCCGTCACTTTTATTAACCATTGGTCCATTGCAACGGGTTAGTGTTTTTTTTTTTTTTTTTTTTTTTTTTTGAGGGAACTAAGAAAATCTCCACTTCAATAATGGAAAATAGAAATGAAATTAAATCCCTAATTAACAGTAATTTATAAGGCTATAATCCAATTTAGATAGCCTTTTAATTTGTAATCGCAAAAGAAATTGTAATTTAAACAGCTATAATCCTCTCTAGTCCCAAGTAATGCTTGTTATTTAATTTGTTAAACAATAATTTTGCTAGGTAACAAACCACGGAGTTAGTATTTCATTGTTGGAAACATTCAAGTTAGAGGTAACCAATTTCTTGAAGCTTCCAATGGAGGAAAAGAAGAAACTATGGCAAACAGAAGACAGTCATGAGGGATTTGGGCAATTGTTTGTCGTTTCGGAAGATCAAAAGCTTGATTGGTGTGATATGTTCTTCCTAATTACTCTTCCTCCTCAATTGAGAAAGCCTGATATTTACAATAAGTTGCCTCAAAATTTAAGGTTCCTCTCTAATTCTCTATAGTAACTTCGTTTTTATAGATATAATTTTTTTTTTCCTTTTTCGGAACCACTTTTAATAGAGTTAATTAAATCTTAATATTCTCTTATTTTTAAATGACAAATTTTATAAAGATGGGCCAGTAGTTAAATTTGCTATATATTCGCACTAATAAGGCCCCGTTCTTTAGAGCTGCTCTGCTCTGCTCTGCTTAGCTCTTCTCTGCTTTAATCAAATATGCTCTGCTCTGCTCGGCTCCGCTTAATTTTCAAATAATAATTAATAATAACAACAATAATAATTTATATTAAATAATAATAATAATAATAATAATAATAATAATAATAATAACAACAACAACAACAATAATAATAATTAATATTCAATAATAATAATAATAATAATAATAGTGGGGGCCCAGATTGTATTTCGGCTCCCTACCAATTTGTTGTAAATTGAATGAATTGTAGGTTTTAATAATAATAATAATAATAATAATAATAATGTTGAAATCAGCTTCGCTCTGCTGAAATTTAATCTACTCTGCTCTACTGACCCCTGCTATGATATGCCCAGAATCGTTTATCCTTTGGCAAAACTATAATTAACTCAACAACCTTTTATAAAAAATGGCCCCACAAATGTTTATGTTAAACGCGGGTCTAGGCCGCACCCGCAAATCGAGAGAGAGAGAGGAGGTTCCATCCCAAAACCATATGACAATAGGAGAGTATCCCCTTATTAGCCTTATAAAGTGTTTAACTTTCTCTTGTTCAACCAATGTGTGACACTTACATGTGGTGACACTTGAGAGGTTTATTTTTTAACAATCCCCCTCACATGTAAGGTCCCTTTTTCACTTTGTCTCATGTGATTTTTCGGGAAAGATTGCTTCTTCACCCCCCCTCACATGGACCTACTCTTGGCCCAGTGAACTTTTTGTCATTTAGGGTCCCATATCGTGGGTCTGACTCTGATACCATGTTAAACGCGGGTGTGGGCCGCACCCGCAAACCAAGAGAGAGAGTTCACTTCACAAGATCAAAGGAGGTTCCATCCCAAAACCACATGGCAATAGGAGGAGTAGTCTCTTAGTCTTATAAAGTGTTTAACTCACTCTTCTTCAACCAATGTGGGACACTTACATTTGGTGACACTTGAGAAGTTTATTCTTTAATAGTTTAATTACAAAAATGTCATGATGACTTGACAAACTTGTTGCCATTTGATAAAAAAAGTTTCGTTTGTCATTGTGATAAACTTGGGCTTCCTCCAAAATTTGTTTATCAAAGTTCTAAACTTGTATCATCTTTGACTAATGAGAAATTGTTAATAAAATGTGTGTGACAGGGTAACAATGGAAGCTTACATAGCAGAAGTAAAGGGTTTAGCTCAAACTCTGCTAAACCAGATGGCTAAAGCATTAGGGATCGACGAGGGCGAAATGACAGAGTTATTCGATGAAGAGTATCAAATAATGAGAATGAATTACTACCCTCCATGTCCCGAGCCTAACAAGGCAATAGGGCTCACTCCTCACTCGGACGCAAATTCCCTTACCGTCCTTTATCAATTGAATGATACCGTAGGCCTCGAAATCAAGAAAGATGGCAATTGGGTGCCCGTTACGCCTCTTCCAAATGCCTTTGTGCTAAACGTTGGAGACGCTTTAGAGGTATGCATGCTCGCTAGTAGCATATACTTTAAAGTACGATTCTATACATAAATACTTTTGAATGAGTATGTATTTACGATTGGAATAGAAATTATGGGACTTTAGTTTATATATATATTATTCACACAAGTAACTTATTGATGAATAGACCTTTAATATAGGAAATTGTAGCATTTGTTAATAAGAAATTGCTAAAATACGAAAACGTAGTATTTGTTAGAGAACGAAGAAATATATCCAAGGATCCTTCTAAACGTTTTCATGTATCAAACATTTCTTATATACTCCCTAGATTTATTTCTTTATTTATTTATTTATTTATGTAGATGAATTTCATACTCTAACTTGCTTCTAGGTTGATACATCATATATTCATATTCGTCTTTTTAAATTAATTTACTCATATACTCACTAGATTAATTTCATATCCAACTTCTTTCTTATATGGTTGACAGATTTTGAGCAATGGAATTTATCGAAGTATTGAGCACAAAGCAACAGTGAATTCGACGAAAGAGAGGATATCAATTGCAACATTTAATAGCCCCAACATTGATTCTGAAATTGGACCAGCTAAGAGTATTATTGGCCCCCTTAATCCTCCACTTTTCCGAACGCAACCATTGACACAATACTACAAGGAGTTCTTTGCCACTAAGCTCAATGGAAAATCACATCTAGACAATAATATGGGAATTTCAACATAGCTTAACAATTTGTTAAGTTGTTGGATCTATGCATATGTGTAGCACACGGTCTACTTGATCGTATAGAAGTCATTAAATGTTAATTTGGTTTTACGACATTAAACCATGTTATGCATACTTTATTTATGCTAAACTTTTAGCTTAAATGTAGTTGTACACTTGCCCTTCCCATTTTTTTTAATAATTTGGAGGAATGAATAAAGTTTGTTCATCGTGATAAAATAATAATTTGTAGTATCTTAAACTTCATTTTCTTCTAATATTCAATTCAATGATTTGAATCTTTTTATCTCTCTTTTTCTCCTCAAATCATGACTAAAGGTGTTTTTTTTTTCTCTTTCCGATTTTTTAAAGCTAGAGTTAGAATTGCACATAGTTTAAGAAGATGTAATAAAATAAGATTTTAGTGTGTAGATAAAGTTATTATTTTATTGAAAAGTAAAGCGGTGAGAGATAGAAAGAGCACCATTGGAGGAGTGAGAAATGAAAAAAGTGGGGACTTTACTGAATAAATATATATGTTATAATAAATGTAAAAATTGAAAGGATTTCCAAAATAGCAAGTGTAGCTTTTAAAAAATATGTACGAAAATAACAAGTGCGCCTTTTAAAAAAACAGAGAGAGTAATGAAAGCACAAAATGAAGAATAATAGTAATAATTAGACATGGTTATTGGGCGGGTTAGCTGCAGGTTGAGTCAAAAGGGTCACATTTTAAAGGGCCAATAGTGGGTCGGGCCAATGCGGGTTGCAGGTCAATAACGGGTCAATAATAAACGAGCCAATAAAATATCAATTAAAATATATATTGGACAAAGTCATTATTAAGTATATATGATTACAAAAATATTTATGTAAATATTTTTTACATTATCAATTTTCTTTACCTATTAAGGCCCCATTCTTTAGAGCTGCTCTGCTCTGCTGAGCCCTACTGTGCTCTGTTCTGCTCAAAAGAAATCTGCTCTGCTCTACTTAGTTTTCAAATAATAATTAATAATAACAACAATAATAATTAATATTAAATAATAATAATTAATATTGTATTGATGATAATAATTTATTATTTTGAATAATTATAAAAATTATTAATATTAAAAATAATTTTAATAATTAATAATAATAATAATAATAATAATTTTAATAATTAATAATACTAATACTAATACTAATAATAATATTAATTATTAATAATAATAATGATAATAATTAATAATTTTAATAATAATAATAATTTAAATAATTAATAATAATAATTATAATAATAATTTTAAAAATAATTAATAATAATAATAATAATTTTAACAATTAATAATAATAATAAAAATAATAATAATTAATTTTAAAAATTATTAATGATAATAATAATAATAAATATTATTATTAATAATATTAATAATAATAATTATTATTAATAAATAATAAATAATAAATAATAATAATAATAATTTTAATAATAATTATTATTAATAATTATAATTTTAATAAATATTATTAATAATAATAATTTTAATAATTTATAATAATAATAATAATAATTTTAATAATTAATAATAATAATAATTTTAAAAATTATTAATGATAATAATAATAATTAATAATAATAATAATTAATAATAATAATAATAATTAATAATAATAATAATAATAATAATAATAAATAATAGGAACAAAATTAATAATAGCATTAATAATAATGTTTAAATCTGCTCTGCTCGGCTCTGCTCTACTCTGCTATGTTTTGCTCTGCTCGGCTATCCTGAAATCTTCTCTGCTCTGCTCTACTCTGCTCTGCTGAAATTTAATCTGCTCTACCCTGCTGACCCCTGCTCTGCTATGCTCTGCCCAGAAGCTTAAAAGAACAAGGCCTAAATTGGAAATTTGGTTTATATTGACCCTAACTAATAAGGGTTTTATCCCTTATAAACTTTGTCCATTAAAAGCCCCTTAAGCTTGATCCTAATCCTATTATTATTAACATACCCTATCCAATAACCAGATCTAGCTACTAATAATAGTTATTTAATAGATCCCGTCTTGATGCACAATAAGATCGCTATGCTAATGTGATCACTGATCACTCTTACCAAGGAAGGCAAGCCAAGGAAGAATCCTGCACAAAATGTATGGTTAGATCATATCCGTAATTAGAGCATGTTAGGTTGTTTGTTTTTGGATTGGAAACGGATACAATTAATCCGATATCGTTATCGAGTGTTTGGTTAGAAAAATTATTAACCATTACCATTACCTAAGGTTGGGGTAATGGTTACCTCATTTGTTAGTTGTCACCTTACCTACTTCAAACACAAATAAAGGGTGTAAAGTTTAACTAATTCAAACACAAATAAAGGGTGTAAAGTTTAACTAATTCATTCAATAATTAAACCAAACACAATGAACATTTGTCACTTGCTGGTTCAGGATGATTTCTAGGTCATATCATTTTTTATAAAACCGTAACCGATTTAATAAACAGGTAAAGAGACGAAGTAAGACTGCAACTACTACGACTATATTAATGGACCGGAATCGCCTATTTTTGAGGACCGAGGACCGGACCGAAATCAGCTGGTTCGGGTTCCGGTCTAGACCTGTTTATTCTTGCCCACTTCAGTTTTGGACCGGAATAGACCGGTTATTGTTTCGGGTTTACTCCAATGGGAATATCTGAACCACTGACTGCGCTGCTGGAGTCTCGGACTACATGCTAGGTCTTGGGCTGGACTGCGGGAAACTCTGTTAGCATCACTAGAGGACCTACAAGAAAGAGAACGTAAACTGCCCTCGGGGATGGTTTTGAGGAACCCCACTCCGATGGCTAAGTAAGTGTTTGCCTTTTGGGAGAGTATAAAGCTGAATGTGTTTAGAGAGAGGGGGGGGGGAGTGAGAGAGAGATTGATCAACCCCCTTTATGTGGCATATACAAGGGTAATTATAGTGTAGGATAACCCTAATTTTAGTGGTCAGCCTGTGGACGACTTAATCTGGTCAGGCTGGCAGCCGGGAGCCTGTGACCGACTTACTCTGTTCGGGCTGGTAGCTGGGAACCTAGAGCCGACTCAATTTGGTCGGGCTGGCAACCGGGAGCCTAGAGCCGACTTACTTTATTTAGGCTGGCAGCCGGGAGTCTAGAGCCGAATCACCCTGGTCGGGTGGGCAGCCGGGAGCCTGGAGTCGGCTTACCCTAGTCGGGCTGGCAGCCGAGAGCCTGTGAACAACTCAATGGCTCAAAGAGTAATCAAGGTGCACCATCCCTAGAGGGGCTGAGAGAGTGGGAGATAGTTTAAGAGGAACTACCCTATACAACTAGCCCCCCAAGAGATGGTATGAGGTGACTCATGCCAACTCTTTTGTTTGTCCCTCACCCCTTGAGTGAGGCTGGGAGCGATGAGGGAATAGCTCAGCAAGAGCTATCCCATACAACTAGCTCCCCAAGTCTTAGAAGTGCTTCTACAGTTCTAAGACTTAGAGAAATGTGTTGCCAAATGATAAAGTTGATGTTGTTTACACAAAGAACTGTAGTTACGAGCTTGAGTGAGGAATTTCTATTACTCATGTTGAAAACCGAGAAGTTACGGGCTGAATCAAGGAGCTTTGATTACTCCCACTAAAGTTTGAGAAATTACGAGCTTGGGCGAGGAATTTCGATTACTCCCGCAGAAGTTTGAGAAATTACAAGCTTAAGCGAGGAATTTCGATTACTCCCGATGAAGTTTGAGAAAATATGAGCTTGGGCAAGGAATTTCGATTACTATCGCTAAAGTTTAAGAAATTATGAGCTTAGGCGAGGAATTTCGATTACTCCCGTTAAAGTTTGAGAAATTATGAGCTCAATCTCTTGTGCGCGCCCACTTTTACGAGTCGATTTGATTTCTCAAAAAACAAGTTGACTCATTCAAACAATATCTTCATCGGGGAATTGTTAAAGGGTGATGTTATCCGTTCGAATATATCTTGCGTCATTTCTTTTTCCCTTCTTCTAAACAAGCGTATCGATTTACTTATCTTCTCGTACTTCCTTTAGGGCCGATTCTCAAGCTTAGGAACGAAGACTCCCTGGCGCTCGTATTCTACATTTATCATCAAGTAATCCACCTCTTTCAAACCACTTTCCCTAGACAACTAGTCCTAGTCCAACAACAATGTCAACCATCGAACAACTCCAAGAAGAGATTGCTCACTTGAGAGAAGAAAAGGCTCAAGAGGCCAAGGAAAGAAGAATTAAGAAACTTGAAAAAGCTGAAAAGAAAAATGTCGAGGCCTAGCCTTGCAACAAAAGATGGAAAAATTATCTGTCAAAGAAAAGTCGTTAAAGAAGCTTGTTCTTCTTTCCAACCTGGGGAAGAAGTATTTCGACGCAGAAAAGTTTGTTCCTCCCTCAGAACTTGCTTTACTAGAAAAGTTCGTAGCTACGGACTTGCCAATATTTAAGCTGACCAATAATCCACAAAACCATTTAATGTGTTTTACTAGCACCATGGCATTAAAGGGAGTTGATCCTAAGCTTTATGCTTTGACTTTCCCTTTCTCTTTAGACCCAACCGCGAGAGAGTGGTATTATGGGTTTGATCCGAAATTTAAAACAACACGGCAAGATGTAGTTTCGGCTTTCATTACCCAATATGAAAGTAACGTAGAGTTCAAATCGACTCTACGTGAACTTGAAATGCTTAAGCAAGGCGACGATGAAGATTTCCTTGCTTTCTATGGTAGACGGAGAGAAAAGGCGGCCCACCTTGCAAAAGGTCAAGTCAAACTTGTTCAAAATGGACCCTATCAAAAGTCCCGGCCTAGATGGAATCCAACCTCTCTTTTACTAGAAGCATCGGAATGATTTGGGAGCTTCTATCACATCATTCTATGCAACACTGTTCACGGATTGTGCTATCCCTTCTGATGTCAATCATTCTTATACTTGCTTGATTCCAAAGAAAGATAACCCCCTTTCTATGTTAGATTTTAGGCCTATTGGATTGTGTAGTACTATTTATAATCTG